CCCTCATCCTCCCCTGAAGAACTCCAGTAAACGCGAGGCATGATTTCCCCCATAAAAGCCAAGTTCGCCCTTCCCCAATACATCATTTATCCATCCATCTATAGGGCTGACCCTCAGTTTCCCAGCACGGTGGTTGCGTGCCGTAAGGGTGATGAATGCAGACAGCAGCAAACTACCCCCGTCACACCCATGCAGCCCCGATGAAGTCAATACAGCTAAAGGGGCGTGATCCAGCCAGTCGGACTGCAAACCAAGGCTCTTCTACACGCCTGGGTATCAGAACGCTCGTCCCTCTCAAGTGACCTGTAAGCGGTGCTAGGCAGGACTGAAGCGAGCGACGGTGAGATCGAGGATGCTTTACTCATCTGCGGGGGATCAACGCTGCCCTATCCCATCTGGTGCCGTGACAACGCGCAGATGCAAAACCAGGCAATATCAAAGTTCAATCACTTAAAAAATTGACTTATGGCCCAACTTTGCTGCTTGTCAACCAAAACCTGCGCTCTGGCATCATACAATCATCAATTTGTGGCTATGGAAAAAGGGTCCAGCGTGTTTATGCAGAAGTACATCTCGAAAAACATTTCCCATCTCCACAAGGGAAATTATGACTTGTTTGTGCAACACATTTCTGAAAACATTTTTTAGCCCTCGAGTCATGTCTCCGAGATCACTACGCTGGTTGTCAAAACAGAGCCTTCTTTTCCCTGACTATACCATATGTAATGCTAAGTCCACTTTCCCTTACTTGATATCACCCGTGCAAGATTTGGAGACGATTAGTGGAAAATACACAACTGAGACACTATGACTTGTTTGTGCAACACATTTCTGAAAACATTTTTTAGCCCTCGAGTCATGTCTCCGAGATCACTACGCTGGTTGTCAAAACAGAGCCTTCTTTTCCCTGACTATACCATATGTAATGCTAAGTCCACTTTCCCTTACTTGATATCACCCGTGCAAGATTTGGAGACGATTAGTGGAAAATACACAACTGAGACACTGTTCTCCAGAGAGACGCACAGCAGGAACTCAGGAATACTCTTTTTTTATATTTATTAGCCTGATGCACATCTAACTTGTTTAAACAAGGCTTTTGTCAAGCGTCAAAAAAACGTGCATGCAGTCCAAGGCATGCTCTCAAAGGGAATTAATGCCGAGCTGGAACCAACGCCAAAGCCTTCGTTACAGCAATGAGCAAACGAACAGGGAGCCCTTCTCATTTCAGTGCAAATAGAGCCACTAAGATAGAAAGGTTTATTTCCTAACAGCTGAGATGGAGAACTCTGAGCAGGAAATTGGGGTGGGCACAGGGATGGGAATGCTCAGTTTCTGTCTGGCAGACGGTGATCCTGCCCTTGTGGGACAAGCGGAGGGTCTCCCCTGAAGGCAGCCCAGGGTGGGGGGTGCCCTGGGTGCCCTCCTGTGCCGGGATCTCCTTCCTCCTGACTGCATGGGATGCCCAGACACTGCAGCAGCGCACATAAGCAGGGCAGACACTCACCTCAGGGGCCCCTTCAGAACCCGGTTAGTTTTTATTTTCCTGTAATAAGGATAACCAACACTTACTCAATTTCATCCCCATTTTGCCTAAGAGACTGTTAAGCTACCATGGAACCGTCAAAGCATCACTAAAATACTGTCTTCACACACCGCACAGCTGAGCAAGAGGGCAGGGTCCCAAAACAGAGAGAAAGCAAAGGGGGAAGGACCCCGGGCTGCCACCGTCCTGCAAACAGTCTTAAGGCAAAGGTAACAGTTAAAGAAGGTAGTATGTGACCGAACACTCCAATAGAAAAGCAGCTCCCTTCCCCAGCTTCCTGTTTAAAAGGCACCTGCTATTACAAGGCACCTAAAAAACAGCCGACCTAAACAAGTAGGAATTATTTATTCTGGAAACTCCTGCTTGTCAGATGAACTTTAGACTCCAGGAATAACTGGAACACAAAGCCTCTTTCCATTTTACTCGCAGATAAAACTCTAAGTTCGTAGAGAGCTGAAGGCAAGCAAATACTGCTCCTTTCCCTCCTCCTCACAGGCAGCCTGTCCCCATCAGCCCGGCTCTCTCAGCGCTCCAGGGCAGTGGCAAAGGTTGGGCCCAAAGGATGCTGCAAACCACACGTGAGCTCACCATCAATTCAGCTTTTTCCAGACTTCAAGAGTTACTGCAATGTTTGAACAGTCTGGGGAGTCACGTTCAGCCAGCGAGGGGAGGGAACGATTATCACCATGACACAAGCCATGCTCACAGCCCATCTTCCCCCATCACGTGCAGAGTTAGTGCAATACCTCACACCGCTGGGACCCGAATCGAGGCAGAACCAGACGTGCCTCTGACGCTGCCATGACATTATATTGGAAGGAAAAAAACCCAGGATATACACAAATATCAATTTACTTGTACTTAGCCATTTGAGGTTTATAAAGCTGAATTTTTAGCTTTGCCAAAACTGGTAATATAACATTTTTTAACAACTTTCACCCAGGAATAAAACTGTTCTCGGTCTTCGCAAAGTTCTCGCCCTCTGGCTATATTCTCATTTGTGTTTCCTGGGTGAAGCCAAGACACTCAAGTACATTTTCAGAGCTTCATCAGGTTCCCATCACCTCAGGCACATACTTTAAACTCCAATGCTTGTACTAGAAAGGACAGCTTGGAAGCAACCCACACAGAGTTCAGGAACCAGAAAACAGCTACACCTGGGAACCCTGCATCTCCTTCCTGACAAACCTGCTCTCACACTCTTCTTGCCTGGAATTTTACAACACCCAATTGCGCCCCATTAAATGGGGAATTGGTAAAAAACACATTTTGCACTAGTCCTCCTGCCACATCTTCACGTTGTTCTGGCTTGACTACGAGACACTGCAGCAAGCCTCCTTGCTAAACCCCTGCATCCAAACACTTACATGACTCTCTCTCTCCGTATTCTGTTCCCTAATAATGCCACTGCCTCCTATTGCCTTTCCACAAGCTGTGAAAAGAAAGCTGGAGGCCAGTTATCCCATCACAGCTTTTATTCTTATTCACCTCTGCGCCGCTTCCACGGGTAAACTCAACCGCATCAGCAACTGAAATTTGTTAGGAGCATTTCGTGTCTGGAAAAAATCCTGGAATTCACCAACACAAAGATCTAAAACGTACTTCAAAGCTTACAAGAAGGGTGTCAGCCTCTACTCCAGCAACACCATCACACATTTTTGGAAAATAATTAACACAGTCAAGTGCAGCCTTAACCCCGTAATAAAACACAGCCATTTGGAAGCAGTACAATGGAAAAACCAGAAAGGGAACAGCTACAGTCTTTGTATCTTAACAAAACTACCCCAAGAGCAGCAGCAGAACATGCTACACTGAACGCACGCTTCCAGCATCTTGGAAGTGATGAGAGGGACCAGCTCTACCCCTGCGTAAAGCTGTTCTGTTGGAGCCTCTGTGATGCTGCCTCCCCACCTAGACGTGCAAGCTGCACCTTCGGGGAGCAAAAATGGCAATTTCTCCATCCGGGGAGCTGCCCTCTGATTCTGCAAACAGGACTGTATTATGAAAATCCTCTGGCCTCCCACATCACCCTCTGCTACACAGGAGCCCTGTGACCAGTTCCAGGAGAGGGCAAGGCACAGGACAACACACACCAGCCAGCCAGATCTTGGGGACTGCAGCGACGAGTCTGCATTCGGCATATTTACCTCATCAACGTGTGCTCTTTCTCTGCAGTTACAAGTTTGACAACTTCTGTTCAACCTTCCATGGTGCTACCAAAAGCTGAACCTGCATGAAGAAGGGGGAACTCAAACTGGCTTTGGGATAGCACAGAGAGTCAACATGTGGTTAGCACACCAAATCAGCTACTGGTGCAGATCAAAACAATTTTTGGCTCCTCCTCCCTGTTTAAAGGGATTTATTTTTTCCCAGGCAAAGCCAGGCAGCAGGAGGAGCAGAGTGCAGGCTGCAGCAGCTGCCAACAGGACTTGTTGGTTTGGGTTTGGTTTTTTTTTTTTTCAGCCCTACAGTGCATAAGAGTTCACATCCCAAATTGAAAACAAAGCAAACCCCAAAATAAACTTCACTGTCTTACTAATTAAAGGGATTCATTCCTTCAGGAAGGCTGACAAACCACTGCTGTGGGGCAAAGAACATATTTTTAGCACTCCAATGTTTTTACTGACACTGCCTGAGCAAGCCAGAGCCCGACTGCCTGTGGAGCAGTGTTAAAGGCTTTATCTAGGAAGCGGGGTTTCAAGTAACTTTGAAATACCACAGGACACGTGCATAAGCTAAATTTTGACAAGAGAGGACTTTCTCCTCCAGCACCCATGTTTTCATCCGCTGTGGAGCAGTTGCTTTCAGCCGCGTTGCCTCGCCGCGCTGGGTCAGGCACAGACACCCTCTGCGACGAGACTTCACAACCACAACTGGATATTACTGATAACCTAAAGAATTTTTCTGCCTAGTGATTTTTCTTGCTGGAGTTGCGGTGCTCTGACAGGGAGCGCACAGTGGGTGTCTGCCACACAGCAGCACCAGGATGCACCTGAAATACCAGTCACACAAGCTCCAGCTTTCTCCCTCACGGCCCGCTCAGAACACATCCCTTACCACACAGCGCATCACCAGAGCGAGAGCTGTCCCTATCAGTGATAGCTGAAATCATGCCAGCCGTCAGCTCAAACCATAACAGACATACCTGGTTTTAGTATAAGAGATCCAGCATGGTATTAAACCCACGCATTTTTAACTGCCATTGCTGACCTTCCCACTTAATTCATTGAAGTGAGGGGCGTTACCATCCTGCAGGTTACACTGTCAATTAATGATACTGTTTAGAAGACAACAAAAGCCTGAACTCAAGAGTGAAAGGCATGGAGGGAAGGGAAGGGTTTTGAAACCCTGCTGAGAGTGAACTGCTGTAGCGTTACCTGCAACCCTACACGCGACAAAAGGCTCCAAGGCAAAAAAACCTCGCCGAATTTGCCATCTCGTGCACAAGTCGTACTTGAGGAGGAGCATAACAACTGCCCGAGGCAGCGCACTTCAGCTGCAGCCTCAGGGATCAGCTCTTCGGAGAAGTCAACCAGTTCCTGGTCCTGGACCAGGACCAGTTCCTGAAACCTGGACCAGTTCCTGAAACCTGGTCCCAAAAGGTGCTGGCAAGGTTGTTCCAACCACATTGCGGATTTATTTCTCCTCAAGATCAAGTCACCTAAACCCAAGGTGAGTGAAACAGAGTAACCTGTAACTCACACAGAACAGGGCTGGAAAAGTGCCTCCTGCTCAGTATACTCTGCTTTGGGAAATACGAAGCTCATTTAATACAGGAGTCTTCAAATTAAGCAGATGCACTTATTACCTACACGTGCAGGAAAATAAAGGGGCAGGCCTCTCTCTGCCGTCATAGCTCCAAAAATGAGGTATTCCTAGTTGTGAAAGCTCTCCATTCCACACAACTAATGTTCTTCTATGTTTATGGATAAATAAGACATTTTATATCCTAAATGCCAACAGGAGCCAGCCAAGAAAACCCAACTCATTTTATAGTAGGTGGTTTGGGTAATTCACAATCTCCGGAATACCCGTCTCCAGACCATTCAATGTAAGGCAGGGGTTACGCAGTACGTATCAGCTGGCTCCATTGAACACTTCACCTTTATCGCTTGCAAAAGTATTTCCTTATGGGCTGAGAACCACCCATCACTCACACCTCTGCTGACTCACAGAAATATTAATCCACCTTTAAAAGGTGCTGTTCCACCATCTTCTGCAAATTACTGCCAACTCGTGGAGAAAGGGAGACCACAGTTAGCATTAAGGGTTTGACAACATACATCTGTGTATGTAACAATCTCCACTATAAAATAAAGTCAGAACCAACAGTTCCAGAAGCTTATACTTATGTTAAAATGCAGTTCTTCCAGTTAGTCAAATGCGCAGGAAAAAGGGATAATCCATATTGTTCACCTTGTTTTCCTCTGATTCAGACACAGAGATGAGTATCTCATGACAATTTGCTCACCTTATCTCAGTGCCAGCCTCCAGTGCAAGTGCATAGTATTTACATATCATCTGGGGCTGGCCGGCTCACTGGGGCTGCAGGTTATCAGGAAACCTCACGGAATAAGGATATCAAGTCATGCTGCCCTTTCCTCTGGTAGCAGCTGTAGAATCTATGGAAGGCTAAGGAAAAAGAGAACAGGCCTGGAGGAATTTTATGCACGATCATCTTGCTAGTCTGCATTACAAAACTACACGCCAAACAAGCCCCCCTGTTTTCATACAAGAACTGACAGCAGGCATTTACCAAACTCCCAACACTGCCTTCCGGCTCGGGTAGAACTGCCCTGCTCCATCAGTCCCTCGCACCAGCGCTGCCGCAGACACGGCCTGCGGCGCATGCCTCCAGGCCCCATACGTGCTGCCTCCATGCTTCTCCGAAGGTAAGTTTAGTTAACCCTGCTCATCGTTACAGCTGACATACCTGTTCAACATGCCCTGTTCTAGCCCATACACTGTGTACCCATATCAGAAATTACTTGCATCCCCACTTATAAATAGCTAAGCAAGGTGGAAATGTACAACCAGACATCTGCAACCGTCCCAAGCGATTATCTTAATTGGAAATGATGCTGAGGTTACACTGAAAACATCACTTGCAAACTATGTTACCTATTAAACGGCTGTAAGCATCATAATGTACAACAAGAAAGAACAAAATTATCTAGCAAAGAGACTAACAATGCACAGCCAGCACTGCAATAGGAATCGGCATCCTCTGGAAAAACACAGGCCATGCAGGCTGCCTTTCACCGGAGAGGCTTTTTTGGGAGGCTCATGCACTGCCTGACGGACCTGAAACAACAAACTCCATCCTGTCCAGCTGATGAAGGTGAGGATGGTCTTGGGGGAAGGTGTCACAGCATGATTTTATTGTCCCCGCAACATACACGTATTCATGCCGGTCCTGTGACTACTGCATTGATTCGCCCAATGCACTCGAAACTAATTCAAATGGTTACAACTTTTTCCCCATTAAAAAAAAACCCAGCAAGCAATCAGATGGCTTTCAAAAAATTACTGAATGAAGAAGTATCTGTCCAGACAAGTCTCTATGAAGGATAAGCCTGAGAAAAATACAAGGAGTAAGAAACTCACTATGTATTTTAGGCTGAAAATTGTGCCTCAGAATTAAATGTCTACTCAAGATCATGTTGAACACCGAGAACTAAGAATCTCTGATCACTCTAAGTACTGCACACCACTGCACCTTACAGTATCTATTACTCATTGCTTGTTCCCTAGGTGTTGATCCGCTCGCTATTCAAGTAATCCCAAGCCTTACCATCTATGTGGATAACCTGTTTCACAAAGCCTGTCCCTTCATCCTTCCCACATACTCACTATCTGCAGTGGTAATTCACACCAGCAACCAACCTGACCTTCCTGCAACACTGAGACTTAGCTGAGCATGTTAGTAGTTCAGCAGTTTGTAATTACAAGGTCTCTAAAAAACAAATAGGCTCTACTTGCCTGGTATCTTTCAAATTTCATCAAGGACTGCTGCCCATTAACCCAAAACCTGCTGCGCTGAGCAAGACAAGCTGAAGCTGTACTGTTTTTTCTGGTTAAAGGGGCAGACACAGCCCCTACACACCAGGTTGCATTTGATCTAAAAGCTATTGCCAGGGGGAGAAGGAAGAGTACCACCACTCCTAGAGCACCTGCCCTGTCAGGCAACACCTTCAAAGTTTATTGAGCTGTCTCCTCCACATCTAAACATTGTAGGAGTCTCAATACTCATGAAGCTGAGAAATGTGACTGGAAGTTATCATAAAACACAGTAAGAAAAAACCAACAGAACAATGTGAAAAGACCAGTTCTGCTACTTATCCAACTGGACAACTATCTTCCCGTGCATCCCAAAGGATGCTACGGGAAAAGCCTACTTCCAAAATGACAGGGAACCTGAACAGCTGCAGCCCAAAGGCAGGTCATAGAATTAAGAATAGGGCATTTTCATATAGGGAAAAAAGCACAAGCTTATGAAAGTCCAAAGGTGACTTCAGATAGCTAAACAGTCCCAGTGTCACGTGCTTCATCTTTCACATTACATAGAAAAGTCACTACAATCCTTACTAATCCTTTTTACAGAAGTAAAACTTATGCTGAATTTCAAAAGGAACCATATAGGCCCTTATAATAAGTTCCCCACCAGCATCCCCTGCAAGGTGCTCTAAGGTCTCCCCAGAG